GACCTCGCACTGGGTCCGTGCACCTTGGTCCCACTCTGGCCCAACGCTGTGTGCGTCTGGCTTGAGGTGCATATGTGGTTTTGCCCCTTGCTCCTCAGCTCCGCCGTGCAGGACGGGGCCCCAAGGGGGTTACGGGCTCCTGTTTGTAGAGGACACGTGGGACGCCAGCCCCCTGCAGGCTGCCGAGGCCCTGCACACTGTCCTCGCCGCGCCCGGCCTCTGCCAGCATGGGAAGTGCGAGGAGCGGGGCTGGCAGAGCGCAGGGCAGGTGGAGGTGCCGCCCAGGCACCCTGCCAGCCGCTCAGCTCCCGCACTGGGGAGGCCCCCGGGGCACTGGCACACTGGCCACGGATGCTGCAGGGCCACTGCTCTGCTCCTGCAGCGCTGAGCTGCCATGCAGAGGTGCCCCTGTGCCATGCTGGCCCTGCACTGCCTGTCCAGCCTGCTGCCAGAGCAGGGATGCCCCATCGGAGCTCCTGGATGCGAGTGGTACCCAGATGTGCCTCAATTTAGCAAATGTGCCCTCCTGGCACTCTGATCCCCCGCTCCCGGCTCAGCTCCTGTCCTGTGAGCCCCCAAAGGGTGGGCTGGGGGGAGCTGGGAGCGCGCGGGGGAGGAAGGGCCTGTACGGAGCCTGGCTGAATTCCCAGGTGTCGCAGGGACAGCAAATGCAAGAGCGGGACAAGCAGGCGGAGGTACACGGAGCCCCAGTGGAGCAGGCCCCAGAGCCAAGGCCAGGAGAGACCGGATACAACTGCTTCCAACAAGGGGGTCAAGATAAGGAAGTGACTCCGCACAGTGGCAGCGGGTCCAGAGCACGTGGGAGGGAAGAGCAGGCCCTGGCGCGGAGCACGAGGAGCTCGGCCTTGGGAGGAGCACCAAGGCCACGGCCAAGAATGACACTCACGGGACCTTTCCGAAAGGACTTTGAGCTCTCTGGGAGTGGGGACAGGCACAGGGGGAGCAGGGCTCGTGGAGCACAGAGACCAAGAGCAGCTGCAGCGAGGGGTAGCCCTGCTGCCCCATGTGGGGCACAGAGAGCCCTGTGCCACCCGCCGAGCAGGACTGGGCAGCCAGCGCCCAACTAACCCAGGCCCCGTGTTGCACTGGCTTGGGTTTGTGCCCAACTAGCTGCAGCACCAGCTCACGCTGCAGGCAGGGCAGCAGCCGAGCAGGGCCCACGGTCCCCTGCATGCTACAGAGCAGCGGCCAGGACTTCGGCTACGTGCCAGCAGGACGAGGTGACGGCTGCTCCCCAGGCACGGGGAGGATTGCACCCTCTCGCCTGTCACAGCAGTCCACCCTGGGCGGGAGGATGTCCCTGAGGGGATTTAGCTGCATGTTTTTCTCCGCTGTTTCCCCAGATGGCCTCAGATGAGCTAGGCAGCCCACAGCTAGTTTAGGGATCCCAGGTAGTCACACTGGGCAGAGGAGCCCATGAGGTTGTGCCTCCCTGCTCCAGCCCCGCCACAGCAGGGGTCCTGCCGGGTCCAGCAGGGTGACAGCAAGGCCAAGCCATACGTCAGCTTTGGATGTCCTTGGGTGGGTCAGCAAGACCCTGGGCACCTCTGCCCCTGGCAAGCTGCTCTCGCTGCACCCTGCCCTCCATCAGAGCCCCTGCTGCGTCACCCGCAGCCTGGGACACGCTCAAAATAGCTGTGACACACAGAGCCAGGAACAGCGGGGCCCGGCCCCAAGCCTCCCTCGGCGTCAGGACAGCCGTGCCCTGGCTGTGCCCCCCGGGGTGCAGCCCGGGGAGCCCGCGGGTGCTTCCCTGCAAGTCACGGAGCCGGCGCCCTCCCCGAGCCCTCCTCCCGGCCGCGGCCTCGTGAGCGGCGCAGGACGATGCTCAGGACAGCCCCCAGGTCGGCATGCGCTGCATCCCTGGGATGCGAGAGCGGCGCCAGGCCCAAGAACAGGGCCACTCCCTCCCCGAGGCTCCCAGTTTAACTCCTCTTGATTGTTTTTCCCCCTTGCTCTAAAAAAAGGAACAGCTTAATGAAGCAGGCTTGGCAAATTAAGAAAACCAGCCGGAGGAACGGCTCGCTGCCGAGACAGCCTTTCAGCACCGCACGCTACAAAGGGACCGGCGAGAGCCCGCGGCAGAGCCGGAGCCAGGGCCTGAGCCCTCCACCTGCTCTGAATGGAGCTGGCTGCAAATCCAGCCTTGCTATTCTCGCCTCGCCGCTGGGGCCAGCTGACCTGGAAAACTCATTGCACTGCTAACCTCGTTCACCGCTGTAAAAACCGGGAGACTTCAAAGATTGGAGCGCGAGAGGCACTGGCACCGCTCGGCAGCCCCAGGGTCACCCCGTTTCGTAACCGCGCTGGCCCCCAGGAGAAGGAGCCCTTCCAAAAACCCCGGCCCCGCAGCAACAAGGGATAAAAAACAAAACACAGGAGTGTTATTCCTCTTGGCTAAGCAAGCCCTGCACAAACTTCCAGAGGATTTATGGCATTTTAAAGTTTTCCCCTTCAGCACAGTACTTCTCCAAGACTAAACATCTTCATTAATTCTCGGCAAGACGGGGTTACGGCTGCGGTGCTGCAGTTCTCGGCAGCAAAGGTGCATATTTCTCTTGGCAAAGCCCGAGTGCAGGCGAGGGGCGCGCGCCGATCCCGGGCTGGAGCAGACAGCAGCGGAGGGAAGCGATCTGCCTGCTCCGAACAGACACCATCATTCACACGTTATTTTTAATAGCTCAGCTAGACAGCCCTAGGAGACTTGGCTTGAGCGCGTGGAGCTCATGGCTCTGCTGAAATGGTGCTGCACGAGCCGCCAGGTCTGGCACAGGACGAGCCGGGGGCAGGCAAGGAGGGGAGCAGGGCAGAGATGACTTGAGGATGGACACAGGCTGCGTTGAGGAACAGACACCCAGCACTTTCCTGGATGTGCTGGGCACGGGAGCAAAAGAGAGGCAGGGGCACCATGGAGGGCTGGGAACACTCTACTCTCACGCCCGCAGCAGGACATGCTCTGGTCCATTGCAATGCCAGGGCACCGGTTCCCTCCTGCACAGCCCCTCTGGTTGCTCCCAGACATGGGCCAGAGAGCATCGTGAAAACGGAGCCCAGCTCCGGAGAGTGAGATCCCACCCCACGCAAGCGGAGAAACCACTGTGACCCAGCAGAACACGCGCTGAGGGACGCAGGCAATCAGGGCCACCAGGAGACCACGCCTAATGCCGTAACTGCACCAGGACGTGGCAGGAGGGAAGAGCAACAGGACATCAGAGAGCCCTGTGGCTCTGGCCAAGCAGCAGGCCCCGGAGGCTGCTGGCTTGCCGGACCTGCGGCCGTGAGCGGAGGAGAGGCCTGAGGAGCAGTGCAGCCCACAGCAGGGCATGGCGAGGGGGTGGTGAGATGGCTGCAGCCACCCAGGCCCAGCCTCCACCGGCTCCTTCCCCTTTCCCAACCTTCTGCGCGAGAGGGACGGCAGTTTCTGACAG